CACAAACAAATTAAACTCAGCAGTCAGCAGCTGATTTCTGAAGGATCATGTGACACTGAAGACTGGAGTAATGGCTGCTGAAAATTCAGCTTTGCCATCTCTGGAATAAATGACATTTTCAAATACATTAAAATAGAAAACAGTTATTTTAAATTGTAATAATATTTCACAATATTACTTCCATTTTTTTTTATCAAATAACCATTAAAAAAACCTTACCGATACCAAACCTCTTTTCCTCTGCAGCATCACCCGTGCATATTGTTGGGCCAATCCATCCCCATGTCTCACAACCACCAAAGGTCCTAAATCTGTTCCCTAAGGACACAGAGGACGAAAAGGTGGTTTTAGAAAACATGTACTCCTTCCAAGCAACTGAAAAGACCAGCACCCAGCACACCACAGCAGAGAGAGCAGGTATGCCACAACTGATTTTTAAAGCCACTCTTAAAGGGGTCATATGATGCGATTTCAAGTTTTCCTTTCTCTTTGGAGTGTTACAAGCTGTTCGTGATGAGAGAGGCGGGGCATAGAGGACCTACAATAATGTACAGTATTTGAAAAATAATGTGTTTTTTGAACATTAAAGCATGTCAACATATTCTGTTACACCAAATACACAAAATAATGATCTTTAAAAAAGCATCATATGACCCCTTTAACAGTAACATTTCTGAACTGCTTATTGTGAAGCAATAATTTGAAAAGAAAGGCTGAAGTTATCTTGAATTGCATTTGCTTGTCCCTACTTGGTGCTGGAATGTACAACCCTTCTGAATCAAGTGATCTCTCTAGTGTTTAGCAGCGAGATGTCGTTCCCGTTGAATGGGTACAGAATGGGCACACAAGCTGCAGACAACACGAAAACTAACAGAGCGGTGAGATCCGACGAAGACTGGCCTAACTGGAGTGACACAGAGGAAGCAGAAAAGGACAAGACCCAGTCAGTCCAGATTAGCATTCGGTCAGCAGATGTCCCAGGTCAGAGCAACTCCGCTGACAATGAGGATGAAAGCGAGGAACCCTGGGATGATTTTGAGGACTCAGAAGTGACCTCAGACCACTCGCCCTCGGCTTCTTTACCAGTCTCTGTACCAAAGACATCAACAAAAAGCAAGGTGTTATCTCCATCTGAATCTAGCACCGGATCTTCAAGGTACTCAAAAGCACTCAAACTGAACTCTAGTGTCAAAAGCGCTACAGATCATAACCATACCTCATCATGGGACACCGGTTGGAATCAGGCAACTGACACCCTCAAACCCAGCAAAACAAGTTTAGCATTAGAGCCCAAGCCAAAAAGCACAATCAAAAGCTCTGAAGCTGGATGTCTCGGGGAGGAGTTCACAATTGCAGTGAAGAAGCCAGAGCCAGATCCAGAACTAGACTTCTTTGCAGACATGGTCCCAGATATAAAGCTGTCTTCCTCATCTCTTCTGCTCCCCGTGGAGAGCTCGGTCAGAGAACCCATCACGGGACACACAACATCAGACCCATCAATAGATACACTGAGCCTCACTAGCAAGTTTGCAGCTGCTGACTTGACTGAGGTAAGTTTACCTATGCGACCAATCCGTTTCATGGCTTTATAATTATATGTGACCCTGGAGCACAAAAGCAGTCTTAAGTCGCTGGGGTATATTTGTAGCAATAGCCAACAATACATTGTATGGGTCAGAATTATCGATTTTTCTTTTATGCCAAAAATCATTAGGATATTAAGTAAAGATCATGTTCCATGAAGATATTTTGTAAATTTCCTTCTGTAAATATATTAAAACTGAATTTTTGATTAGTAATATGCATTGCTAAGACCTTCATTTGGACAACTTTAAAAGTGATTTTCTCAGTATTTAGATTTTTTTGCACCCTCAGATTCCAGATTTTCAAATAGTTGTATCTCAGGCAAATGTCCTATCCTAACAAACCATACATCAACGGAAAGCTAATTTATTCAGCTTTCAGATGATGTATAAATCTCAATTTCAAAAAATTGACCCTTATGACTGGTTTTGTGGTCCAGGGTCACATATGATGAACTGACGAGATGTACTTTTGTTTTGCCTCGACAGACGGAGGCAGAAGGATGGGGCAATGACCTCAACTGGGAAGATGAGAACGCCTGGTGATCAGTGTGGTCCTCTACAGAAAGCCATATGAGAGAGATTCCAATACAAGAACACTTACATATGCCATTATGATATTATCACTAAAGACCAACATAAAAATTTAGTAACTACGATTTAAGAGAGTAGTGTGTATTTTAAGATTCCCCCACCCAGTCCAATGAGATAATCAGTCTACTGTCGCCATAGAAATTGATCAGCTACAGAAAAAGGTTTAGTCTTGTTTAGCTTTTTCAAGATGGCATGATGGACCTAAACATGCCAAATCCTATTAGGAGTCCTTCAGTCATGTTGCACTGAGGAGGGGTACATAACCTGGAAATACATCCACTTCTAATGTCAGGTTTTATTTGTGCCATACAGCTTTTTTTTGTTTTGTTCAGTGAGCCTTAGAGGACAGACAGCCTCAACTTGAGAAGAAATATATAGACTCTAATTTGTGTTCATTAGATTGGGTGAGAGCCCGACATAATTTATTTGTATTATCAGCTGCTGACTAAATAAAATGGTTTTATGGTATTTGACCTGCTTTGATTTGTTTTTGGTGAAATTTTGATATAATATTGACTGAAATTTGGTAAAAAAAAAAAAAAAATCTCCCATTGACTTAAGGCAAGGTCACACGGCATCAACAGACACTAACTGAGGCCAGCAGACATGTTTGATGGATTTCAGAACTGTGTGTTAGGCCTGTTGGTCTGTTGCCATTGGTCGGTGTTTGTTTTTACCCATTGAACATTCAATCAGTTTGTCAGGTCAGGAATGTCTGGACAGTATGGTATGATTTTCTAACAAACTCTGATGTAATCTGGTAATTGCTGGTGTCTATTGGTGCAGTGTGAATTAGCTTTTAGAATGTTCACAATTCAAAATCTTAACGGGCAGCTATGATGCCATTGTAATATTTAAAGGATTAACTGCAATTAGTCTTTTTATTGCATTTATTTGCATACCAGATAAAAACTGGCCTTTTTTTTATTAAATATTAAGTTGGCATGAGATGAGAATTCAGGTAATATTTTTTGTAAATGCAATTTATACATCTTATTGTGAACAATTCATGTTTATGTATGTTGTTGTTTTATTTTGACTCCATTATGTTTAATCAAAACATCATGATCTTCCAGTGAAAATGTCTGGTTACGTATGCAGAATTTCAGAATAATTTTGTTCACCTAAAGCCCACCCCTCCACAAATAAGCATTTTCAATTTCTGCATGCATTTTTAAGAGCAACACTCACATCTCAACAACAACCAATGGATAGATCCAAGTCCTTACCCTACTTTTCTCATCTCCATGCATGACCCCCAAAAAATTAAATGCTGCTACTTAATTGGCATAATATGATTTTGGCATTAATATGTGTCAGCCATGTTGGAATTACCACAGTTGCGAGATTAAGTTGGAGGTCTCAGAAAAATCAGAGCTGTAATTATTGAATATACTATAATCTTGATATTACAGCAATTCTGACAGTGTGAATGCACCATTAAAAGCAGAGCTTTAGACTTTAGTATTCAGTGTCAATCACTCACAATCAAGTCACCGACTAAAAAATCCACAAAACACATTTTAATGAAGTTTAATCAATTGAATTGTCTTTGGAGTGACTCTTTTCCATATAAACTTAAAAAAATACAACTTTTATACAAATATCTTGGGTGACTTTAGTAAACGTAGTGACATGGAACAAAGACAGCATTAATGTGTTAAAAGTAGCTATAGGTAGAGGTGTTGTAGTTGAATCAGGGCTGCTCTATTGCAGTGGTGTTGATTTGAGTTATCAGTGTCTGTAAAACCTCAAGTCTGGTCCTGACCCACTGAGGCGGGGACATGTTGTGGTCTGGCCCCACTATTGCCTGCAGGGCTTTCAAGGCACTTTCTGCTGTCTGGAGGCATCGCTCATACTCCTCTTCTACTTCCGTCTCCTGTCTTGCCCTCTTCAGACATGGCTGAACAGGTAAAGAATTGCAGAATTAGTAAAAACTTGTTCCATAGGTATGTAAGGCAATAAAGCCATCCTCTCACTCACCTCCTCAGTAAGTGGCGTGTGTACAGGTGAGCTGGTCTCATGCTCCATTTGCTCACAGTGTTTCTCTATTATACTCCTCCACTCCTTCAGACGTTCTAGTCTTGCTTCCTCAAGACTCCTGGTGTGAGACGGTCTGTAGAAAGTGATACATTAATCTATATAAGGAGCACTGAAATAAGACAAATACACATTTTTTTTAAGTCGATATGTATCTCTCATTTCATACCTTACTGAGGAAGTTTAACACTTTGGTTTTGATCTCCTCTGATGTCAATGTCTGAGAAATCACTTCCTCATGGTTGGTTATCTTAAGTTACAAGAGACATTTGAGCTAGATTACAAAACTGTTGACTGAAAAAAGTGATAAAGAGGGATGTGATTTGAGATTTATTTTTTACCAAATAAATATATAATAATAAAAACTCAAGTTCTTGAGAGAGAAAATTATCACTTAGCTTTACGTTATAGGATTTATCTATACTTGCTGAAGTAAATGCACCATTGAGTCAAGAACTTATCATTATACATTCACTTCTGATTTACTCAAATACAAATTTAACAATTAAGGAAATGTCTATTATTTAATAAAAACATGGTTGGTTATATAATGGGGAAATTCCCACCTCTGCAAAGAGGTCAAAGGCCTCCAGGACATGATGGAGGATCAGCCAGGATGGGTGAGTCAGGAGACCATTAAACAGACCACTGATTCTGGGCAAAACTTGACACTGCAGTCACACACATACATATACAGATGCACGCACAATGAAATGACCAATGAAAGAACTAATTTCCTGTCTTTTATTTATTTTTTTACTCATATTCCACTTCTACCTGAATATTGTGAGAAATAAATATTCTTCCCATGGAAGCAAGGAACTCCAAAGCAGCTAAAAGAAGGTCATCAGGGCATTTCTGGATAGTCAACCCACTCAAACAGGAAACGGCCTGTTGTTTTGCAAAAAAAATTAATAAAAAACTTGCATCAAAATTAACTAAGATCTAAAAAGATGAATTCTGAAACTATGAAGGCCCAAAGAAAAGAATAAATGTTAAAATATCACCTGAACAATGACATGTGGCTCTATACTGCTGATCAGAACAGCTGATATTGACAGGTAAGTCAGTAAGACTCTAAGAAAGAAAGAAATGTTTCTGAAAAGTATCTTATGCTCACCAAGGTTGCATTTATTTAATCAAACATACAGTAATAACAGTAATACTGCGAAATATTATTAAATACAAAATAACCTTTTTCAATTTTAGTGAATTTTAAAATGAATTTATTCATGAGTTGGCAGTCTTCAGTGTCACATGACCCTTCAGAAATCATTCTAATACGCGGATTTGTTGCTCAAAAACATTTGGGGACATCAGATGCCCATTTTCCACAAGTTGGTATGATTCTTTAGGGCTTCATGAAAAGTCTATAACACACTTTGCAACAGTTTGCAACTAGACGGATGTACGGTTACTTCCTCTACAGTCAAAAATCTGGGTGTTATATTAGATAGCAACTTGTCTTTTGAAAATCATATTTCCCATGTTACAAAAACAGCATTCTTCCATCTTAGAAACATTGCCAAGTTACGAAACATGATACCTGTTTCTGATGCAGAAAAGCTAGTTCATGCATTCATGACCTCTAGACTGGACTATTGTAATGCACTGCTAGGTGGTTGTCCTGCATCTTCAATAAACAAGCTACAGGTAGTCCAAAATGCAGCGGCTAGAGTCCTTACCAGGTCAAGAAAATATGATCATATTACCCCAATTTTACAGTCTCTGCACTGGCTACCTATTAAATTCCGTATCAGTTACAAAATATTATTACTTGCCTATGTTAAAATTTCTCAATGGTAGTGTAGAACAACACCCTTTTTAACTGGTCAAAAACAGCTCTGTTCACACCTAGCCGTTTCGGCGCATGTCCCTTTAAATGCTAATGAGCTCTGCTCACCCAGCCCCTCTTTTCCGTGAGGTGAAGAGCCATTCTCAAGAGACTGTAAACTTTAGCCACATTCGTTGTGGAACTTGCTAACTAGCACATTATTAGGAAAGGTGATTTGCAAAGATCCTTTAAAAACAAAAAAGCTTCTGTAGGTGAAGCTGGATCACAAGTGATTCGCACAAACATAAACGAATTTAGGTAGATCAGGGGAGCATTACCTTCAAAAACAATCCACTTTGTATTCAGCGGCTCAGATGTCGGGAGTAAATGACGACGGCTGTTCATTATTACATCCAACAACAAAAGACCTCAATCGCTTGGGAGACATTCTTGTCTACACCTGCTCCGGCATCACAACAATTTACACAAAAGCGGACTGTTTGCAGCTCACTCAGGGCGGGTCAATGCTAAAATGGCAGTGTTGGTCAATAGTCGTGGGAGGGGCCAAGAATCTTTAAATGGCTTGATCTGAGACAGTGCTTACAATTTTTGGGGATTTAAAAAAAGCACTGGGTGGATTTTTATCATTATAGGGTGGTTGTGTACACACACTGCCAACACACATTTATGTTCAAACACCATGTAAAAGTGAATTTTGCATCTGATGTCCCCTGTACTGACCCCAAATTTTTGAACAGTTATGTGGGCCCCACTTTATATTAAGTGGCCTTAACTACTATGTACTTACATCAAAAATTAAGTACAATGTACTTCTTTGTGTTCATATTGTATTGCAAAACACTTTTGCTGCTATTGAGGTGGGATACGGGTAAGGTTAGGGACAGGTTTGTTGGTATGGGTAGGTTTAAGGGTGGGTAAAGGTGTAAGGGATGGGTCAACTGTGTAATTATAAATGTAATTACAGAAATGAATTACAGATGTAATTACATGCAGGTATTTTAAAAATATAAGTACAATGTAAAAACATGCATGTACACAATAAGTGCATTGTACCAAATTATTAATTTAAATGTAAGTACATAGTTGTTAAGGCCACTTAATATAAAGTGGGTCCATAATGTGTATGTGAAATCTGATCACCTGGTTGCTACTCATGCAACTCCACAGCTGAGAGATGATCTTCACAGAAGATATCATACACTCAGCCTGCAGGTTGCTTCCGCCCATCAACATCAGCACACAGCCTAGTATCCGGTTCTGAATCACAAGGAGAAACAAAGTTAAAACCAAGCCTGGGCAAGATATTTATCTTAAAGGCCAGTCTGGTTTTCAAAGGCAGGATGTCAGATAGAGTTTACACACTGCTGATGTGTCAATCTACAACACAATAAAATCTTAAGTGTTTAAATAACAATAAAAACCCCAAAGTTGTCCATGGTCAAACTGTGTAAGTGCATGATTTTGTTTTGTGTCCATAATCAAAACTTTAATCTACAACAACCCTCACCAGAATTTGATCAGGGTAAGACTGAGGCATAAAACACATTCATAGCCTTGGAACTTGAATGTGGATCGAAGACTGTCTGTTTCCTCTTCATTACCCAATTGTGTCTTGGGTAATGAACTGTTAGTGGTGAAGTTGTTTGTATAATATGCCAGCATTTTTTATGTTTTTAAAATCAAGGCCTTGTGTAATTCAAAAAGATGGAAAACATCCTGTTAAGAATAAAGTTTGTGTTCAGTGGCGCAAATGTTACTTTATTTCTCTCACAAGTCTCGGTATATCTCCCATCCTGTAGCTGTTATTCTGCCATTCCTGCAGCACAACAGAAGCCCTGGAAAGCACCTCTTTCTCCACCCGCATACGTGCCTCTGCGCACAGACCCCTCAGCAGAGTGTGGCGCCACACACAGAGGTTCTCCTCCTGAGCAGGAGGGAAGTGCTCCACAAACTCCACCTGTTACAAGAAACACTCCATCACATTTTTAAAATGTACCATTTTGCTACCTACAAAACCAAAACAACTGTGGTAACAAAAATAAACTATATTACAAACTCATCAGTGTTCTGAGGAAGTTTTTTCTGCAGAGCGGTGTTCATTTTCTTTATCTGGACTAGAGAAAAAGAAACTAACCTGTTGTTTTGGTGTCATGAGAAATAGCAGACGTCTAAGCAGCAGGGTCAAGTGAAACAGCTGATAACCCTCACCAGGACATGACCTTATCTAGACAGTACAACAACAATACAGGTCATGGAAGCGATTAGTGGACTACTAAAAACTTGAGGTTTTCTTGCAGTTTGTTCAGACATAATGTTTAAACCAAGAAAACTTAAAAAAGAAATTCTAAACACTCTCCAATTGAATTACAATGGGTCAAGAGTGTTTATTCATCTTTAAAACAGAAAAATTAAATTGTAAGGAAACAGAATAGAACAAATACAGTCTTGAGGCAAAACATAGATGTATGGTCTAAATGAAGACAAAGGTATTTGGACTTTCTCTAACTGTCAGATGTAAAGATCACACACACACAAAAATGTATAGACTTTATTTTTTTAAAGATATTAATACTTTTCTTCAACAAAGACACATTAAATTGATCAAAAAAGACAGTAAAACCATTTTTAACGATACAAAAGATTTCTATTTCAAATAAATGCTGTTCTTTTGAACTTTCTATTCATGAAAGAATACTGGAAATTATACTTTGAAATATATTTTTAAAAGTCATTAGTGTTCAGCATCACTGTTGTACTGCATTTTTGATTAAATAAATGCAGCCTTGGCAAACATAAGACTTTTTCAAAAACATACAAAAAAATCTTACCAACTTTTGATTAGTTGTGTATAGTTTAAAAATAATAATTTTAAGTTAACATTATTGTTTTTACTGTAATTTTGATCAAATAAATGCAGACCTGGTAAGCATATGAGGACTTTGTGTATTTGTGTGTGTTTATCCATACACATACTGTATATAGAACCCATAGAATAAGTTGTTCACTAACACTTGTAATAATTAACAACATTTACAAGAATACCAAGCACACAAGAAAAATAGCACAAGACTGTTGTGATAGACAGGTGTGTTCTTCCCCATGCTTATTTTGACACCAATTGTCAGCTCAGTCAGGGTGTAAGAGAGAAAAAGGGTCCCCTGTGGTCCCTCATTCCAGACAGGTTTCCAGAATACCACAAGAGCACAAAAAGGTCGCATTCCCAGGTGAGCAAGAAGGAGAACATGATGAAAACACAACTCGGCCGTGCCCTACCTGAAGAGAGACAGAAAGAACACAACTCTGATATTGTATATAAGCATGTTTTTCTTGCATTCTTTAGAGCTGTAGATGTTTTCCAACTTGTATAGACACATGTCTAAGCAGAGTATGGTTATCAATATTATTTAGGGGGTTTTAGGGGAATGACTCCTAAACCACAATGACAAAACTTTGGAAATTTATACTTAAAAACATTAAAAACAGGAATGTCCCCTGATTGTTCATGCTTGGCGTCTCTGTGACAGCTCTGGAAAGTAGTAGTCATAGAAGTCCGATGGTCTACACTCATGGGTGTGCATGTACACTTACCGTGCCAGGAAGCACCAGACATCTGTGGCCAAGACAGCCGTCTGCGTTTCTGCCTGCAATACGGTGGCTAATAGTGACCGCTCCTGAAAGAAGGAAACAGAGAGGACAACAAGACTATATGATGTTTTTTCTGATGAAATTTTTGTCACTTGGCCAGCTGAAAATTATTTCAGCATTCAATTTCTAACACCACTTTGGGCATAAATTACATTTCTTTAAAAGCTAATATTAAAAGTAATGATTAATAACTTCTTTCAATGTTTTCTTTGAGAGAACCATGTTAATCTTAGTAATCACAAGAATAGCATAAGAATATAATTATGTCAAGATTTATATCAAGCTCAAATGCAACTGGTCTTTTCAAAACAAAAGATTTTAAGTACATTTTAGTTTTCACATCATCCAGAGAGAAAAAACAAGTTTTGTTATACAACACTTGAGTAGAATTCAACAAATTCAATAAAAGGGATCACTGACCAATGGAGCGAAGTGCTGAGTGGGCAGAACAGCCACACAAGCACACATATGCACACACACATGCTGGTGCAGACTGACTCTACCCTGAGCCCGCCCTCGCAGCATTTCCCCCGGCAACCACACCGGCACGGCACGCGCCAACATACACCGCCGAAAACTCTGCAACACTGCCTCAAACACAGACCATCTGTAGAAAGACAGTTTTTGCTCGCATTATGTACTTGAGCCAAAAATGCTGCACCTAGAGAAAACAAAATCTCTATTTAAGTAGGCACCATTTTCCACATTTCCATTTCGGAAAAAATAAATAAATAAATTATTGCCAACCCCAAACGTTATACCAGTACTGTACAATGAAAGGCAATCTTATTGCCGTATTCCCTTTTGCTCCAACAGCCAAAAATCAAAAACAAAAAAAGTCAACACTATAACATTTTATTTACGATTATCATTATTACATTTTTCACCCAATATATATTTTATATTTTTCAAGTTTAAGACTACTGATTTATTTTCTTTAAGAAAATAGCTAACTAACAAAATAAACTATCAATAAATCAATCAATGTTATCAATAAATGCAAAGACAATTCAGGGAATGTTGTATAATTTATGAAACTAAAACTCAAAATGATGCTCAACTGCATCACTGTTGACTAGTCTGCCAATTTCATCTTGCTAAATTATACAAATGTAAAGTACAGGGTTTTTACAGACATGAACAAGTTAAATTTAAGACTTTTAAGACCTTTTTAATACCACCTTATATGAAATTTAAGACCTAAACCTGTATTGGAAATACACATTATATTACATACATATATGTAATATTTAATGTGTTTAATGTAAAAAGAAAAAAAAAATATCATCGCTGTAATAGATTATATTTATTACTAAGATATACAGTGAACTTTTCATATCAGCAGACAATATTCCATGCAAAATATCCCCACAAAAGCACCACATCACCGAGATTTTTGGTGGTGTAAACTATTTATTTTGAAGCAATATTTTCATCAGTGTTCTATCAGCTTTTACATACTTAAATCTGCATATTTTTATTTACCTTTACAAAGGCCTATTTTTGCAAATGCATAAATAATGTTTGATATATTAAACATAAAACACTGAATACTGATATTTGAAATTATAAACACCATCACGTTGCTCAGAGATGCACAATAGTGCTGTGGCTATGTTTGAAATAATTTTTGTTGTCGAAATACTGCAAAAACAGGCAATATGGTGTATAAAACGTAAGTCTCTTAATTAACTTCTAGTTTATTGAACTGTTGTAAAAAATAAATATCACATTTGTAATCATGGTAATTTTGGAGAAAAAACGTCACTCTTCATTTGAAATTGATTAACTATATGAAGTGGTATAAATATATACATTTTCTGCCCCCATGTCTTGAATTTTGTGATCATTGTAAATGTATTTTAATAGACTGAATCACGCAGTGAAAGAGCGCACTGTAAATGCGCACGCGCACTAGTCTAGACTTCACCTAATGCATGGGTGCACTCTGTAGGTGTTTTGAATGCTTTTTGCGTCGTGAGAATATTCAGCAAAATAGCTCACTTGTCATGGTATGTTACTTAACTATATCATGTTATGAATAAACTAAACATTTAGAATTTTTACCTGTGTGTTTCTTCTGAGTTTCTTTATGTGTGCTTTTATGCTCATTTGTTCTGAAGTCTCTCACAAAGAGACAAACAGAGTGAGCCTCAACAGCACGACCTTGATACCAGAAATACACTATACATTATCAATCTCTGTTTACATTGAATGTAGGCTAATAAAATTAGAAGAATCATTCTCGTGTTTCGATGCTTTGCTGGTTATTTTTTTGTCACGTATGTTTTAATCAGGCTATTTGTCCGGTTGGACAAATACATTTTTTTTTTTTACTAGCTAGAAGGCTGATCAGCTGTAGCTCGACCTATATTATTGTTATTATTGAGAACATTAAGAAGGTAGTTCGACCTGTATTCTTCTACTGCGACTCCCTCTCGAGCTTTCACGAGACATCACGGAGACATTTCTCCGTTATGTGAACTCCTTCCCTTCCAACCTTTCCTGAAGTCCTATTGGCTCATGCCAGTCCAAATGACTGGCCAACTGTCGCGAAGTATGCAAATCGCATGCAAATACTGACATGCTCAAGAGGCAGTATAAAATGCGGTGCACGCGACAATTATGTCAGAATCTTCTCCTTCACTTTGCTGAACAACCTAACAATATGGCTTATAAACTATTTACAGCTCACAGTTGAGGTTCGCTCATCAGAGGGCGGTGCCTGGATTGCCGCTCCTCTGCAGCGTTCAGGTGAGTATGACATTTTTCTTCAGATACCAGATGAGTCCGTCTGCCCTCAATCAGTGGTGGACCTTACCTTAAGGACTCTGGTGATGAGCTCATGCCGACTAACTGTCCGCATTCCTCTCACCCATCGAACCTGCAGGACATAAGCCTGGCTTCTCACGTCCTCCTTCCAAGGCGGAGCGGAGAGCCGAGTGCAGATTCTGGAGCTAAGGGTTCTCATGTCGCCGCACGACCCACTGTCTAAGTGTGCAGCCCCCCACCTCAGAGCGGCCGTGTGCAAAGCACAATCACTGGCTCCTCACTCATTCACACGATACCAGCCTCTCATCAGCGGCTGCCATGTTTGGAAGATACTGCTCTCTTAATCACAAGATACCGAGACAAGAGATTCCGCTCTCTCACTCATTCAAGGCAATATGCAGCCCCCACTTCAGTGTGGCGACAAGCGCTTCAGTCGCTTACCCACTCACCAGCAGTAAAGCAGCCCCCGCCTCAGAGCGGCAGTGAGTCACCTGATGCCCCTGCGCTGAAAAGCGTGCAAAGGCAAGGAGTCACCTGATGCCCCTGCGCGGGAAAGCGCATGAAGGCGAGAACACGAGAACCCTCGCTTTCACGCACTTTCCCACGCAGGGGCATCAGAGGACCTAGGACAGATCCTTGTGGCACTCCATATTTTACTGGTGATAATTGAGATGACACAACAAAAGAGCTCTTTCCTCCTCACTCAGTCAATGTAGCACCACTCGCCCCGCCTCAGAGCGGTGCAGAGCCGCTGCCCACACAGGTTATAGCCACGCAGCACTCGCCGGCGCATCCAACAACCAAGCCGCTAAAGCCGCTATGTCAGTTCCTGAGCGCGTGGAAAACTATTCCGGGAATCTCACGCTGGTTACTCGGTGTGATAGAGCATGGGTATGCCCTTCAATTCAGATACACACCACCCCGTTTCAACGGCGTAGTGCAGTCTCTAACACTGCCTCGAAATGCCCTGGTTCTGAGACAAGAGGTATGCAATCTGCTCGAAAAAGGAGCGAGCTGGAGAGCGGTATTTACAGCCGCCATTTTGTGGTGCCCAAGAGAGATGGAGGACTCTGCCCAATTTCAGGCCCATCAACAGAGCGCTCTGCAAGCATACGTTCAGGATAATAACGCTGAAACAGATCCTGGCGCGAATTCGCCCCGGGGACTAGTTGCGTCCGTGAATTTAAAGGACGCGTACTTTCACTTTCAGATAGCACAGATTGTTATCACAGATGCTTTCTGAGATTTTCTTTCGAGGGCACAGCGTACCAGTACTCTGTTCTCCCAGTTGGGCTGGCTTGGGCCCCGCGCACTTTCTCGAAGTGCATGGACGCAGCTCTCGCCCCCCTCAAAGCGAGCGGGATGCGCGTTCTCAATTATTTGGATGACTGGCTAATCTTAGCTCAATCACGGGACACACTAGCCAGCCTTATAGACAAACTGCTTTGTCATTTGGAGTTCTCAGGGCTATGTGTGAATGTGCGTCAGAGCATTCTCGCCCCGAGTCAGTCTATAACGTATCTGAGAGTGTGCTTCTCTCTCGGGAGCGCTCGGCGGCCCTTTTGTCTTCCCTGCGCCATTTCAGAATGGGCAGCTCTGTTCACTTGAAGGAATTTCAGAGGCTGCTGGGACTCATGGCAGCGGCATCAGCGGTATGTCATCTGGGTTTACTACACATGCACCCGCTGCAGTTATGGCTGAAATCTCGAGCCCCTTGGACGGCGTGGACTTCGGACCGTTTGCGCATCGCGGTCTCCCGCAGCTGCATCGAAGCTCTGAGGCCGTGGCGCAAAGATCTCTTCAGCCGGCGGTTCCCCTGGGCTTGGTGACGTCACATGTCGTGGTCACGACGGACGCATCGACTCGGGGATGGGGAGCAGTGTGCGAGGGCATGCCGGCTTCAGGGCTGTGGTCAGAACCTCAGACCCGGTGGTACATAAACCGCTTGGAGCTGGAAGCAGAGTTCTTAGCTCTAAAGGATTTTCAGCCGCAGCTGGAACAGCAACATGTACTGATTCGCACCGACAACGTCTGTGGTTTCGTACATAAATCACCAAGGGGGCGTACAATCCAAGGCTCTGTACAAGCAGGCAGCGAATCTCCTGTTATGGACGGACAGTCACTTTCTCTCCATCAGAGCAGCGCACATCCCCGGTCTCCTGAACCGCGGGGTGGAAATGCTTTTGAGGAAGGGGATTCCTCAAGGAGAGTGGAGGCTGCATCCCGAGTCAGTTTGGATGATTTGGACCCGCTA